TGGATTCAGGAAGATTTGGGTTCAAGTCCCACTTTTGTGTGACTCTGGACAAATCACTTAACCATTCAGTGCCCTAGGTAAGACTCTGTGCTGCACACCTCACCAGGGGTTTCTCCCCCTATGTCTAGGAGCAAGGGGTGATCTTCTGCACCTCTGCTAGAGAAATGGACACAAGGTCTCTTCTGGCAGTCATTCAACATCTGGACATAAACTTAGTGGGACCAATGCTATGTAGGAACTGGACTAATCCTCTCTCTGAGACAGCTGGTATAGAGGAAATTATGCCCCTGAGGGGGAAATGCTTGTATGTTTGTTTGTGCTTATTTTTGAAATAAGTATCCCTGTGTAAAAATTATTCCATGTTAAATGGTTCAATGGAATTGGGTGCTAGTCACTGGCTCCTGACAGATGGGGGAGGGAACACAGCCAGTGACTGGGCCTTGAGCATATAAAAGTGGGAGAGAAAGCAATTTCCCCACTCTCTCTGGGCACTTGACTTCTCAACTAAGGGGAGATGTAGCACACCTGGCCCCAAGAGAGGAGGGCACAGCATTCATGTTACACAAAGATCCGAGCTATATGGTCTCTGTATTTAAATGGAGCTCATGCCGTCCATCACTCAGTAGGATTCTGGCTGGTTTTCTTCCTTCCAGCAAGGCAGCTTAGCACACCCCTGATCCTATGCATTTCCTTTAACAAAAAGCATCGATTTGGTTTTATTTTCAGGTCCACATTTTCTCCTTCTCACCTCTTTCCACTCCCACCGAGAAAGAAAGAAAAACAAAACCTGTTAAAAACATGTATTGTTAAGCAAAACAAATTCCTACATTGACCAAATCCCCAAAAGATATGTATCAGTTTACCACTTTGAGTCCACCACCTATGTGGAGGTGGACAGTATATTTCATCTTGAACCCTCTGGAATTGTGGTTGGTTATTGTATTGATCAAATTTAGTGAATTTTTCAGAGTTATCTTTATAATATTATTATTTTATAAATTGTTCTGTTGATTCTGCATGCTTCACTTTGTATCAGTTGATACAAGTCTTCCAAGTTTTCTCTGAAGACATTCCTTACATAATTTCTCATAGCACAAGACATTTCCATCACATTCATACAACTTCTTCAGTTATTCCCCAATTGATGGGCACCCCCTCGGCTTCTAATTCTCTGCCACCACAAAAAGAGCTGCATAAATATTTTTGTACAAATAGATCCTCTTCCTTTTCCTTCAATCTCTCGAGTTCATAGACCTAGTAACAGTATTGCTGGCTCAAAGGGTATGCTTTTTGGGGGTATAGTTCCAAATTGCTTTCCAGGATTACTGGACCAGTTCACAGTTCTACCAATAGTGCATTGATGTATCTATTTTTCCACAGTCTTTCCATCATGTCATTTTCCTTTTTTTGGCAACTTTACCCATCTGATGGGTGTGAGGTAGTACCTTAGAGTTATTTAAATGTGCATTTCTCATTTAGTGCTTTAGAACACTTTTTAGAGATGGCTATTGATAACTTGGATTTCTTCCTCTGAAAACTTCTTGCTTGTGTCCTTTGATCATTTGTCATTGGAGAATAGCTCTTCTTATAAATTGAAATTAGTTTTTTATATTTCTTAGAAAGAAGACCTTCATGAGAGAAATTTGCTACAAAGATTTCCCCCCAATTTTCTGTTCTTCTAATTTTAGCTGCATTGATCTTATTCTTGGAGGAAAAAAACCTTTTGATTTTATGCAATTAAAATTGTCCATTTTACCTTCCGTAAACCTTTCTATCTCCTGTTTGGTCATGAATTCTTCCCCTATCCATAGAACTGACAAGTAAATTTATTCATATTCCACTAATTTGCTTCTGATATCACTCTTTCTGTCTAAGTCATGTACCCTTTTGGAACTTGTTTTGCTTGGTATATTTTGGTCTATACCTTGTTTCTGCAGACTGTTTTCCAGTTTTCCCGACAGTTTTGTTCCAAATAGCTTTTTGCCCCAGTGGCTGGATTCTTTGGGTTTATCAAACACTCCATTACCGTACTCATTTGCTTTAGTATATTGTGTACCTAATCTATTCCACTGATCATCCTCACTATTTTTAACCAATATCAAGTTGTTTTGAAGACTACAGCCTTGTAATATAGTTTGAGACTTATTCCTGCTAGGCCCCCTTCCTTTGCATTTTTCCCAGTAAGCCCCTTGCTATTTTTGACCTTTTGTTCTTCCATATGAATTTCATTATTGTTTTTCTAGTTCTAGTAAGTAATCCTTTAGTTGTATGATTGACATAATACTGAATAAATAAATTAATTTGGGTTGTATTGTAATTTTTATTATATTGGCTCAGTCTACCCATGAGCAATTAATATTTCTCCAGTTGTTTGGAGCTGCTTGTATTTGTGTAAAGAGTGTTTTGTAATTGTGTCGGTGAAGTTCCCCAAGGTGTCTTGCCTCCCTGTGTTCTCTTAAAGTTGAATTCAAACCCTCCTTGTCAATGCTGTGCATTCTATTCTGCATTCAAGTCATCACTGATATATGTATATAATGAACACAATTAGATATCTTACAGTGTAGTACTTCAAAGTGCTTTCACAATTATAGCTAATAATAACTAACCTTTACATAGTAGCTTAAGATTTTCAAAACACTTTTTCAAATAATATGATGGCTAGGATTAAGCAGTTATATACCATGGACAGCTCTCAGCTCTCTCCATCTCACTGTGCCTCGTTTTCAGTCATCACCTGAGGACACTACTTCTCTACCTGTTTCACAAAAGTGGTGACAATAAACGACAGAACTGTACACAAGGTATCCCAAAAGTCTTAGTGCAGCAGCTTTAAGCCACTAAACCCAAAAAGCTTTGCAGTAAGACTTTGAGGACCCTGAACAGCTAGGTGGCAGTAGGGCTGGACTTAGCATCAGGAAAATCTGACTTCAAATGTAGCCTCACTAGCTGTGTAACCCCGGGCAAGTCACTCAAGTTTGCCTTGGTTTCCTCATCTGTAAAATGGGGATAATAGCAGCACCTATCTCCTAGGGTTGTTTTGAGGATAAATAAAATTTTTTTTTGTAACGTGCTTTGCAAATCTAAAAGCTTTATAAATGTTATTATTGTAGTTATTATTACTAGCTATCCCTTATTACAAACAGTATTTTAAGAGGAAACAAAGTCAGCACATTTGATCAATGCATTGGGAAAAGTCTAAAAACAAGTGCAATGTGTAACACCTGTGGATCCCCCACCTCCAGGAAGAGCTGGGCTAGAGGTAGCCTCTCATAACTCTTCCTTGATTGACCTTTATATTTGTGTCACAGTCACTTTTGGTTTTGTTGGTGAGTGGTCGCTCCTTCCACGTACATTGCTGGAGTCATTGCATACCTTGTTTTCTTGGCTTCGGACTTCCCTCTACATTTATTCATGCAGATCTTCCGAGCTTCTGTCTTCATCACACACATGGTTTCTTACATACAGCTCAGGGTATCCCAGGACATTCATGGACCACAGTGGACCCAACCTTTCCCCAGTCGATGTCTGTCCCGGCTCTTCTCTCAGAGGAGGGGCACGGAAAGAACGCCCTTCCTTCCTTTCTTTTTTAAATCAGCACGACAGAGAAGGACAGCTCCTCTAGACAAACACTAACTTTCTCAATCGCAGGAAGGAGTAACGAGGCCTCTGAGAAACATTGGAATTCAAAGGCAATGCTTCCATGTCCCTCCCCCCGCCCCCCATTTCTCTGTAATATAGGTCTGATAATATCAGCTCTCTCTCCTCCTTCCCCAGTGGCCCACAGGAACTGCCCTGAGACCCTGCTATTAAGTTTCTTAGGCTAGAATTGGGTCATTCTTCCAGGTGTCTGTGACTTTGACCCGGAATTTAAATTCCTCCAGATCTAGACTCTCCACCAGTTCCCCCCCCCCGCCCCAAATGGAGGCACAGCTTTCTGGAGACCACCACGCTTAATCCCCCATCTCGGTAGGCCCTGGGAAGTCGAGGCGAGTGGAGGGTGAAAGGGGTGGGACTACTTGACAGTGCTAAGGCTGTGGCCCATCTCGATTCAGTCCCCCATCCCTCCACAATCTCCACCTTCTGCCGCGGATTGCAGGAGTCGGTTCCACTTATCCGGGTCTCTTGGTCTCTGTGTGTCTCCTCTCTCGACCCTGCTGCCGCCACCCTCCCTCTCTCTGTTGCCCCCCAAGCTCATAGCCTTTCCTCCTCCTCTGTCCGCTCCTCCTCTCCCTTTCCCTACCCCCTTCCGCATCTCCCTCTCTCCCCCTTTCCTCCTCCTGACCCCCTTCTTCCTTTCTCCTCCTTTTTTTTTCTTACCCCCTGACTTTTTCTCCTCTTCCTCCTCCCTCCCCCTCTTCTTCCTCTTTCCCCTCAGTTGCTGCGATCCTCACTCCCTCAGCTGTCCCTCTGGCTCACGCGGTCTTTTCCTTCCCCTCCTCACTCCCCCCTCCTCCTCCTGGGCTGCTGTGGCCTCCCCTCTGTCTTCTGCCCCTTCGCTGCCTCTCCGATCACAGCATCTCCTCCTCTCCCATCCCCCCGCCCCCGCCCCCACCCCTCCCCAGCTACTCTGTGACGGCACCAGCTCTGGTTGGATCGGAGTAGGTGGCTCAGTTCCAACGGGACACCAGAGGCTAGGGGAGGGAGAGAGGGAAGGGAAGAAAGGTGTGGGAATAGGGAGAGGGAGGTCAGCGCGAGCCAGTCGCCCCGGAGCCCGGAGTCTGCCTTCCCTCTGGCAGCGGCAGCCGCGGCGGCGGCAGCAGAGGCAGCGGCAGCAGCAGGCGGAGCCCAGGCAGCAGCAGCAGCAGCAGCCCAAGCGGGCGGCGGCGGCGGCGGCGGCGGCGGCGGCATCTGGGGCGGGCGCCAGCCGCCTGGGCACGGGGCTGAGGCGGATGCCATCGCAGCCACAAAGAGCGCGCTGAGCCGAGCCCGAGGCTGGGCAGAGAGCGGAGCGGACGAGGGTGCCAGGCGTGCCAGCCCCGCGAGCTCCCGGAGCTGCAGCCAGCGGCCCACGGGGAGCCTGGGGGCAGAGATGGACGCGAAGAAGCGAGAGCGCCCCGACAACTACGGTGAGTCCTCGCTTCCGCTCTCGCGCCCCCAGACCGCCCCGCAGACCCCCGGCGCTCACCCTTCCCTTGCCAGTCGCCGCTCTGGCAGGGCAAAGGTGCGGAGGGGGAAGTTTGCTTTCTTCCTTGCTGGGTCCGGGGGGGCGTGAGTTCACTAATTGCCTCCTCCCGGGGGCTCCGGGAAAGGACCCTGAGGTGGGTTCCTCCCCTTAATTCGTAGAGGTCTCGGGGAACTCGGCCGCAGCCGCATCGCGCTCCTCCAGCTATCTGTTGCACCTGCCTTTCTTGGGCCAGTGGAGGGAGATTAGGGGCTCGTAGTCTCCGCCCAAGCCCTCCTGGGGTGGAGGATCTGGCGCTTCTCGCAAGTCCGAGGGCCGCGGTGACCCCTTGCTCCTCTTCCCTCCCGAACCTGAGAAGTTCTGCAGGCTGCTCGCTCAGCTCCATCACGGACCGTGCTGCCGCTGCTTGGCCCTTCCTGGCAGGCGGGAGAAGAGCGAGCTCGCCGCGGGGCAGTGGATTTTGATCCGGTGTGTGGGGGCGGGGGGCGTGCTGCTTTCTGCTGTTGTCCCTTGACCTTTCCAGACGAGCCACAGGGAGTCACGCTGCCCCCCACCCCGTTTCCTTGCTGCTGTTGTGTGGAACCCAGGCTTCCAAAGTTGGAAAGTTGAGGAGGGGGCAGTGCCCAGAGGGGGAGGCGCGCCGGGGCTTGCGCTCAGGGGGCCGGCCGGGGTGGGGTGCCGGAAAGCGAGTCCGGCCGAGCCGAGAGTCTGGCCCGGGAGTCTCGGCGGGGCGGCTCCCGCCTGTACGGAGACAGTCCTCTGGGCATCCTAGGAGGGGCAGGGAGCATGCCGGAGGGGGTGGGGAACAGGTGAGGCCAGCGTTAGCCGGCCCCCTGAGCGCAAGAGGGGCGCGCCAGGCAGGAGAGCTGCGGAGCAGAGGACACCACCACGAGCCAGGCAGCTCGCTGGGGAAGCAGCCCGTCCCAGGAGGGGGTCTGCAGCACTGCGGAGATGAGAGGGGTATGCTGCGGGTTCCTTACTAAGCGGGGCAAGGGAACCTGGGTTGGTACGGGGAGCACAGGCCAAAAGGGTGACCGCCTCCGCCTTGAAGCTAGACAGGTTCTTGCGTCTTGGGATTGTAGTGAGTGAGAGGGCAGACGTGGTGGTGGGTTGGCTCTGGACCTGCTGAGGAGGGAGGGTGGGGAGAGCAGAGGGCTGAGGGCAGGACTGGGGGCGCTGCCGCCGACCAGGAAGATGTTGGTCCAGCTGGGTGGGGGCTTTGAGCTTTGCCTTTCCAAACAGATCTGGACCTGAAGGAGCCTGATTCACTCCAAAGGTCACTGAGGAACACAGCCTTGATCTCCCAGATTCAGGCTGGCTTTTTAATTGTCCCCGAGGATCTCTTCCATTGTGGGAAAAGGCTTTACGCTCTTGAGTCATAAACCTGGGGAAGCCTAGAACACAACTGAACAGGGCTTTCTTTTCTTGTGAAACTACAAGGACTTCGCTACAATTTCCAGGCAAAGGTTTGCTTTTTTTTTTTTTAATTGTCAGTGTTTGTAGAATGTAAGTTTCTTGAAGGCAGGGATGCTTTCCTTTCTTTGTCTCTGTGTCCCCAGAGTGTAGCTCAGGGCCTTGCCCGTTATAACTGTCCAGTGGAATAGTTAACGGAGCCTTGAAAACAGTTCACTTCCTCTGTTTTCTGTTAGTATCCTTCTTGTTACTGTGGGAGATGACCTTAAAAATGTCCCAGGCACAGTGGGCAAGTTCCTCCGCAACCTTTTTCATGCTCTGGAAAGCACTTCATTGAAACCCAGATTGTAGAGGCGCCTCATATGCACTTTGGTCTTGGAGGAAGTTGCTTCTTTCCTCCATGGAGCCATACGGCAGGTGAGGAACACAGGTCTGGGACATCTGCTGATGGGGCTGGGCATGGGCAGAGAGGCTGCTGCCTGCCCCCTGGAAACATGAAAAGTCTTCCAAAGTTCCCTGGAGAGTAAATGGAATCTGAGAGCCCTGTAGCATTCACTGGTTGTAGGCAACTCCACCTGTAAATGAGTGGACCAGTGTGGGCTGGACCACTTATTACCCACGTGACCTTGGGAGAAGTCACTTCACTTCCAAGATAAAATGAGAGGAATGGGTCAGATGATGTTTTAGGTCCTTTAGGCTTTTCTATGGTCCTATAAGCCTTAAAATGAACCCTCTTCACGTAGAAGCTTGAGAAGAAGGCATATAAAGGGACTTTCAGGAGGAATGAGTTTTGGTAGGAGAGACTATTAAAAAATACAGGAGACTTTGCCTTGTATGTCAAGAGAGGGGGTTTGTCTTGTTTCAATTTAGCTCATGTGTTTGTGGAGTGAAGGATGGAGATGATTACAGTTCTATCATGGAACGGTTAACTGCTCCCCTGAAAGAATTAATGCCAGAGAGCTTCAATGACATGTATTTTCAAGGACTGCCATTGCAATTTTGTGGAAGTGAGGTTTTCTTGTGCCTTGCCTTGTTTTAAGGGAGACCAATAATATTTAACTCACATTGTCATATCCTTCATCTTCTCTCCTGTAATGTCAGGTGTTTGATCAGCTCATTTCACTTTTCCTGGAAGAAGGGAGATCTTTTGTTTGTCCTTGGAGTTTCTTTATGTCAGGACAGGAATGGTTATCATGTTTCTGAAACTATGAAGCAAATTGGATACATTTTAGTCTCAGGACTTGCCTCCATTGAACATTTTTGGTGTGAAAGATTCTCGGTTCCTATCTGCCAGTAACAGCTGACAAGGGGCTTGCTCATTTCCTCCTCCGAAGTCTGTTTCTAGCTAACACTGACTGATGGCTAGCGAGTGGCTCTCAAGCTTGAGCTGGCTAGTGGAAGTACACACTTCTTGACCTGGTTTGGCTGGGACTGCCTTTCGGAATTTGGCTGGCTAAAGAGCTATTGGACTTAGGGATATTACATGATGTTTTGGTTATCTTTTTAAGCAAGCCACATCTCTGCTTAGCTACCCTGCACGGGGGGGAGGCCATTTGCTGAAGCCAGTGACAGGCAAGTTGCTCATTGGTTTCCCAAGTCCTAGCAATAGAGAGTACATATCTAGAACAGACAGAGATTGGCTTAAGGGAAATGCAGTTTCTCCACACCAACAGTGAAATGAGATGAGTTGGCAGTATTTCTCAAGGGGGTGGTAGCATTAATTCAGGACACCTCATCAAGAAGTCATTTTTCCCAGCATGGCTGGGAAATTAAATGTTTATCATTTTAGTGTTTATGATGCATTTATGTCAAAAATCCCTTGAGTCCACAAACAAGAAATGTCTTATAACAATCCAGAAAACATTGTAAGTGTCATTATGTTCTTTAAAAATGGAGCTTCTAAGAAGGAATCCATTGGAAAGCACCCCAGGGGGCCAACTGGGGGGCAACTTGGCTACATCTCCTCTCTGTGATTGCCAATAAGTGGCTAATCCAGCCGTTGCTTCAAGACCCTATGGGAGGGAGAACCCATTGCTTCTGGGGCCACTTTCAATGAGCTCCAATTATTAGGATGTTTTCCTCATATGGAGTCTTAATCTGCCACTTCTACAGTTCTGCCCTCTCAGGTCAAAAGGACAATTCTAATTTCTTTTATTTGTGACATCCCTTTAAATGCTTGAAGACACAGCTGGCGTGTCTTCCCACTCCACATTTTCTCTTCTCCAAGGTAAGCATTCTAGTTCCTTCAACAGGTTCTTATATGACCTGGGCTTTGGTTCCCTCATCTTCCCTGGTTACCCTACTCTGCTCATGCTCCAGTTTGTTAATGGTTTTCCTAGAATTTGGAGTGCCTTGAGATGTGGTCTGAGCAGGGCAGTACAAAGAACTGTCCCAGGTCTCCTTCCAAACCTCCTCTCTTTAAAAAAAAAAAAAGCAGGGAAGCACAACTGTTTCATATTGAGCTTGCAGGAATCCAAGACCCCAGATCTATTTTTAAAAATGAGAACATAAAGTTCTGAGTGATTGGGGCCACACCCTCCCTGACTTTCAAGGATGACATCAGGAAGTACAAGCATTCTCTTTAGGATATTTATCAGTGACTTGGATGAGGATGTAGCAGGCTTGAGGTCCGTGCTTTTGGCTTTGTTTTTGGTTGAGATGCTGCATGAGCAGAGCTGGACATTAAGAAAGCATTTGGAAGTCCCTCCATGATATTCATGAGCAAAAGAAACATAGGCTGTGTAATAGTAAAGTTAAGCATATTCCTCACTGGCTGAATGAAGTCAAGTGTTTAAGAATGTACCCCTATTAGTCTAAAGAAGGTCTTTAGTGGAGTGCCAAAAGGTTCTTTAGCCTTACTAAGTCTAATGCTTTGATCAATGCCTTGGATGAAGACCTAGATGGCATGCTTATCAAATTTATAGATTACATCAAATTTGGAGGATAACTGATGCTTTAGACAGATGATGGAAGGAAGATCCGAAAGGGCCAGTTTGTTACTCTCCTCCTCAGTGGAGGATCTTGTGTCCTCTTTTACTGATTAAAAAAAATTACCCCCTGGGGCAGCACAGTGGATAGAGCACTGGCCCTTAGGTCAGGAGGATTTGAGTTCAAATCCGGCCTCAGACCAAACACTTGACACTTAATAGCTGTGTGACCCTGGGCAAGTCACTTAACCCCAATTGCCTAAATATTAAAAAAAATCTTACCCCCTATTTTGTACCTCAAAACCGTCACTAGCATCATCCAGTCTCTCCCTCTTTGATCCAGTATCTGACTGATCTCCTCTTGCTCCAGGAACTGGACCCTTCCATCATCTCCTCTCTCTCATCTTCAGTTTCTCCTTATTGATTCATTGACTTTTTCCCTGTACCTAGAAACATGCCCAGGTCTTCACATCCTTAAAAACTATAAACCTCCAATTGATCCTTCCACCTCCACAAGCTTTTGTTCTGTCATTTCTCGCTTCCACAGACCAAACCCTAAACAACGTTGGGTATACTCGTTTTGGGCTTCTACCTTCTCACCCTC